CACTCACCACCACCACCAACCACCACACTAAAGATTCTTCTGTTAGGTCTGGCTGGCATCTGTCTCTCTCCCAACTCCACAGCATGTTCCTACAGAATCAAAGCCTCTTTTCAAATTTACAGTCCCTGACAGGATCAGAGTACCCTGTACATGGGCTTACTTGTACATATTTACTAATCTGTAGTGAACACTTTCACAAGATTTAAAGACGGGGTGAAAATCATGACTATGTTCATCACCGATTGATGAGTAAGCACAAGTGAGCCCAGGCTTCCCTTACTCCCTGGATACAGTGCCTCTGCCTCCTCTGGGACCACCGAGCTCCTGTGTGCAACGCTCATCCTCTTCCCAGCATTGCCTGAGCTTATCTAGACGCTGTGGCTGGGCTACAAGAGAGAGGAGAGAGGCCCCGAGTATACTACAACCAAGACTTCTAATGTCCCCCGAGCACAGATCCCAGCAGAGAGAAAGACTGAGACTCCCAACGCAAGGAGCTGGCAAGGAGCTGCCGAGCCCCAGTGTGGGGAGGAGGGAAGATTCTGTTGGAGATTAGGAATCCCTGTGTTTACTCAGCCAGCACCGACTGAACTCCTGTCGGACTAGATCTCAGTGTTCAGATGTCAGTACGACACGAAAATGAAGTCGATAACTCTCAGTAAATTCTTAGGAACCCCACTTCCCCCGAGCCTTGATGCCAAGGAGATGGAACTGATGCTCTTGTGTGGAAGTCTCACGTTTCCTTTATTCATAGTATGTATGAGTTTGGATAGCTCCCTGGGACCAAAGTCATATTTGCAGCACCTGTCCCCCTGTTTCCCAGACTGTAGATGACCCCATGCTTGGGCAGGACCCTCATCCAGCTGTAGCTGGGTTAGTTGTCACACTGCATGATACAATTCAGTCTACACATACATGTCAGCCCGATGAAGGGGCCCTGGTGGTGCTGTAAGGGGAACACTGTGCTGTTGACCACGAAGTTGGCAGTTCAGACTCACCAGGAAAAAGATGAGCTGTCTGCTCCCATAAGCTTTGTCATCTCGGCAAACCCTATCGGCTAATTCTACTCTTCCCTGGAGGGTTATCTGATTTGGGATTGACTTCATGGCCATAGTGTGGTGGTGTACTGGGGTCATCTGGTATGCCATCAACACAGTTCTAACCCGTATAGGGCTTCCAAGAACTGCTCGGAGATTTGAACTGCCAACCTAGTCCAGTAGTGTTCATCCTACTGTGCCACACCAGGACTCTACAAGCATATGTTGTTGTTGTTGTTAAGTACCATGGAGCCAGTTCCAACTCATAGCGACCCTGCACAGGGTTTCCGAGGCTGTAAATCTTTATGGGAGCAGAAAGCCTCATCTTTCTCCCGTGGAACAGCTGGTAGTTTCAAACTCCCGACCTTGAGGTTCGCAGCCCGATAACCACTATGCTATCAGAGCTCCTTATATGTATATAAGCTCTGGTAGCGTAGTGGTTACGAGTCGGAGTTCTAACCTCAAGGTCAGCAGTTTGAAACTACCAGCTGTTCCACGGGAGAAAGATGAGGCTTTCTGCTCCCATAAAGATTTACAGCCTCGGAAACCCTGCACAGGGTCACTGAGTTGGAACTGACTACACAGCACATAACCACCACCACTAAAAGTTAACTATATATAACATGTATATGTGTTTACATGTATGTTGCTGTTTCTTTTAAGTGCCTTCAAGTTGGTTCTGACCCATAGCGACCCTGAATAGGGTTTCCAAGGAGCGGCTGGTGAGCTTGAACTACCAGTCTTGCAGTCCAAGCCAACATTGTAGTCCACCACAGTGCCACAATTACTATTTCAGTGGCATTTTGCAACGAGTGCTAGTAATGACTGGGTGAGCAGCTTTGAGAGGCCCAGATTCCAGAAGCCGCCTCCTCATGTCTGTTGGCAGAACTGAGGTTTCATGACCCCTTCGATTTCTCCTTGTTTTAGGGCAGGGCTGAAACTCTGTAGGAATCCCTGAGTGGTGCAAACAGTTAACAGGGTGCTCCCTCAAAGGTTAGAGGTTTGAGTCTACCCAGAGGCACCTCGCAGGAAAGGTCTGGCTATCTCCCTTCTAAAACTCAGGCACTGAAAACCATGGAGCACAGTTCTACTCTGACACACTCAGTGGCACCGAGAGTCAGAGCTGATGCCATGGCACCACACTCATTTGCTACTTACAGTGGTGACATCAAGTCGGTCTCAAGTCCCTGCCACCCTGTATAAGGTCTCCAAGACTGAACCTTTACGAGAGCAGACAGCCTCATCTTTCTCCCGAGGAGCGGCGGGTGGGTTTGAACTCGCAGTCCAGTGCTTAGCCTCCAGGGCCACTAGGGCTCCTGCACTTAAACAGTGATCTGCCTGTAAATAGGTCACGTCCGTGCCTTTGTGCCCTCCCGACTTGAAATCCTCGTCCATCTGTTCAGAAGCCATGTTTAACTCCTATACGTTCATATTTTTAAAAACAGTTTGCTCTTCTTAAGGAACACAGGCTGTTTTGGAACAATCTTGGTAAGGCAATTTGTAACTGCTAAAGGTTACTAAATGTTGCTAAGGCAGCTAGCCAGGTAATTACGGACTCCATGCAAAGCACTTTAAACAAATTACCCCCAACCAACAGCTCTAGCTGGAAATAGCTGGGCATGGGGGCGTTGGGGGAAAGATTGGGTAAAAAACACTGCATGCAAACACCCTCAGAACTAAAATCAGATTCTTCCTCTTCTCCTCTCTAGGGGAGAAATCTGAATAAGTAAGGCCACAGGGAAAAGCAAATGCATTCCAAGGTGCCCGGAAATTGGGGGTTGGGAAACGCCAGCAGGAGCTGGGGTACAGGATGGAGGATGGGGGTGCATACCTTCTCATAGTTCCAAAGCTGGACTCTGTGACCAGGACCAGCCTGCTGACCTGCAGGCCCTGGAAACGCTCAAGGTCACCCTGATAAAAGGCAGTTGTTGCGAATGTTGCTAAGTGTCATCGAGCCAGTTCTGACTCATAGTGATCCTGTATAGGATTTCCAAGGAGCAGCTGGTGGGTTTGAACCATTAACCTTCTGAGAAGCAGTCCAGCACCTCATGGGGGGGGGGGGGTTCCTAAAATGGCGTGTATTTAGAAGATCTGTTTACAAAGGGAAGGAAAACTATCTTGATCTTGACTCTTGTGCGTGGGTCAGTATCCTGGAGCTGTTGAAACAAAAAACCCACCAAGTAGGCATCCTTAAAGTAAATCCCAAAAGAACCCACTGCCATTGGTCACAGACTGGCACAGTGGTTAAAGCACTCAGCTGCTACCCAGAAGGTCATTGATTGGAACCCACCAGCCGCTCCGTGGGAGAAAGATACCATTTCCACAAAGATTTACAGCCTTGGAAACCCTATGGGGCAGTTCTACTGTGCGTCAGCCTTAAAGAACAGGAGTTTATTTTCTCACAGTTCTGGAGGCGAAAGTCCAAGTGAGGGTCTCAGCCTCATGCATTCCTTTGTTTTGGACCCCTGGGAATGTTATTCATGACATCTCTCTTCCTCCGTTTGTGCAGCTGCCTCTGTGTCTAAAGTCAGTGATCAGGTGTAGGACCCGCCCTACCTGGTGTGGCATCAACAACATAGCATTAGATTGCCTTGTGGATGTTCATTATGTCCATAGGTACAGGGGTTAGAATTGCAATACATTTTTTTGGTTACATAGTTCAATTCATAACACTGAGAAACATAAGCAAACTTCATATCCCCCTCTCGAAAGTTGTGACTCCATGTCCTGTCTCTCCTCGTAACCACCCCAGTCTAACATGAACACAGTCTCCCTCTCTGTCTAGCCCCCCTCATGGTCCCAGCGTTTCCTCCATAGTTTGTTGTCCTATACATGCTCTCCCTGTGTCCCTGGGGCCAGGACGTTCCTACTTGCGGCTCTCAGTAGTCAGCCGCAATCTTGTACTGACCAGGCACAGCTCTGTTCACCCAGCGTGCCGTCTCTGCCGACACAGTGTGTGGGCAGGATCGGGATGTCCCCATGCCATCCCAGCATGGGGAACATGTGACAGAGTGCAACCAAGTGTACTCCTGAACAGCAAGCAACAGCCAGCTTTGGGTGGTGGTGGTGATGTGCCGCGGACTTGGTTCCAACTCATAGTGTCCCTGCATAGTGTTTCTGAGGCTGTAAATCTTTACGGAGCAGAAAGCCTCATCTTTCTCATGCAGAATGACTGGTAGGTTCGAACTGCTGACCTTGAAGTTAGCAGCCTGACTCATAACCGCTATGCTACCAGAGTTCCTTCCCACCCCCTCTAGTAGGGAAGTAAAAGAAATGACAGGTGTTTAAAAGCTTGCTTTAACATTTTTTATCAAAAAGACATCCTCATATCTAAGATTTTCCTCTTAGTAGATAAGTAAAAATATATGTAAACATTTAACTTCAAACCTATGTATCAATCACTTTTTTCATAATAGCCAAATAATGGAAACAACCTAAATATACCTTATTAAGAGGTGGAGCAACTTGAAAGTCCAGACGAGCCATTAAAGTGTAGAGGCTTCATAAGAGAAAGGCGTTACAAAGGGTCAGTACTTAAGCCACTGGACTGCTAGCTGAAAGGTTGGAGGTTCCTAGGAAGAAAAGCAGTCAACTTGTAGAAGCAATGACCCTTGAAACCCCGATGGAGCACTGTTCTACAGTGACACATATGGGGACATCATGAGTCAGAATCAGCTTGAGGACGACAATGGGTTCTCCAACATCATACAAGCCCATCTCGTTGTTAAAATTCACAGGCATACCTCACACACACACCCATAAAGGAGCTGGGCAATTAGAACCCAGGGTCCATAGGACCCTCCTCTAGGGAGAGAGGTGAAATTGAAGGTGATTTTATTTTCTAAATGTTTTGATTTTCTACCACATCCAAATATATAACCATTTACATTTGTTTTTAAACATTTGTAAGTAAAAAAGTACACAAAGAGATGTTTTTCTGAATAACGCCATGTCTGTCTTCTGCAGCTTACAGTGACTTAGGATACTACATTATCAACAAACTGCACCACGTGGATGAGTCGGTGGGGAGTAAGACGAGAAGGGCCTTCCTATACCTCGCTGCCTTCCCCTTTATGGACGCAATGGTGAGTAGGATTTTAGCCGGGCCAGCTATTTGGATTCTTTTATGACATCTGTCTATACGTGCCACAAGTTCTGGTGGGTGGCAAGTGAGGAAAATGTAATTCCAAGAGGAGGTTCTGTTCAAATAGAGCCAAGGTCAGGGATCAGGATAGGTCGTCCACACTTTACTACTTCCCTGGAGCCCTGGTGCAGTGCTACGGGTTAATGCACTGGACTGCAAGGTCTGTTTGAACCATAAGATCAGTGGTTCAAGCTCACTAGCCGCTCCTTGGAAACACTATACAGGGGCGCTATGAGTCGGAACTGATTCAACAGCACTTAACAAGTGCTTCTGTGTGCAGCACCCATAGCTTTATAGAACGTACCCAAAGGATTTCTTTACTTTAGTTACAAACTTTATTCACTACCTTAGCTCAGGGCTGCTCACTTTCACTGATTAATTACTCTTGGAGTCCTGGTGTGGTGCTATAGGATAAGCACTGAACTGCTAACCGTAAGGTTGACAGTTCAAACCCATCAGCTACTCCTTGGGAACCCTGTACAGGGCCGCTGTAAGTCGGACCCTACTCAACAACACAGATGCTGAAATGATACCCTTTTCTTTTTACCTAAGTTATAGGCTCGTGTGTTGTCGTTAAGTGCCGTTGAGTCCTTTCTGACTTAAACAATTCTCTACCAGGGTTCCAAGGAGCATCTGGTGAGTTTGAACTGCTGACCTTGCAGTTCAAATCAACCTTTTGGTCTGGTACTTATCCTGCAGTGTCACACCAGACTCCAAAAAACAATATATCCCCAGTACAGACCAGTGCTGGAAAAGGAACCTTTCCTTGAGACTCTACTATATCAATATATGGAGATCTGTACCATTCTCTGCCATCCCGTATGTCCAAGTTTTGCAGACGGTAGATTTGAAGACCTCTGTTTCTAGGTGACTTAGCCCCATTCCTGGGAGGAGTGAGACAAGACAGAATTCACTTCTGAAATGTTCTCCAAGCCTTCGTTTGAAGTCTGCAGTTGGATGATTGGTGTGACTTTGTGGAATCCTTCCTGGTTTGAACTGTGGCCTTAGATACTAAACCATTTTCATGGTGACGCCATGGCTTTGTCATTGTGTCACTTTAGGTGGGAGAAGCAGGCTGTCTGAATAATTGTCCCTGGATTTCCTTTATTTTCCGTTAGGCATATTCACTCCAGTTGTTGATCATGTCCTGGAAGAATCAGTGACTGTCCTAATGCCTACCCTCCCGTCTGTGTTGAAAGTAACAACTCCAAACATCAAAGAATTCCAGTGATAGGTGAATTCAGGGAACATGGGACTCCTAGTGGAGGAATCCTGATGGTATGGTCCTGATGCTAACCAAAGGTTGGTGGTTCGAACCTACCAGCAGCTACTTCCCAGGAAAAAAATGTGGCCATCTGTTTCTGTAACGATTTACAGCCGGAGAAACACCACTGGGGCAGTCCTACTCTGTCCTGTAGCTTGCTGTGGGTCGGAATCGACTCGAAAGTGGTGGGTTTGGTTTTGGTGGGACTCTTCGTAGACGTGAACTATAGATTCAAGAACCCTGCCCTTCACTTCCATCCTGAGGTGTTTAGAATGAACACTTGGTTTAGCAGAACACCAGATGCATTTTGACTGGTCCCCCTTTGCCATCTTTTCATCTAAAATCTCCCCCTTCAAAGACTGTACTATCGCAGCAGAAGAAGACGGCTAATCAAAGCCCAAGTCAGGAGAACGCACTCATCAAGAGCAAGCCATTGTCTATGGTCCTGCCCCCAGCATGGCCCTGACATGCTGTTTGGGGAGATGGTGTGTGAGAGCCACACAATTCATCATCCAGATGAATTTCAGACAACATAGACCAGACCACAAGCCACCGTTTGCAAATGTTGTCTACACTGGGTGCCTTCGGGCCGAGGAAGGAAGGCGTAGGCAGAGCAGTTGCTCTACAAACCCTTGGCACTGAACTAGAGAATATAGGCCTAGCTCGTTGTATCGTCCTTGGCTGATTGCCCTTCGCAGATACTGTGCTTTTTCCCAATGGGCAGTTTGTGGCAGCCCTGCTCTGAGCAAGTCTATCAGCACCATCTTCCCGGTAACACAAGCTCACCTCTCGGTGGTTGTCACAATTCTTCAAGCTTTCCCATAATACTTATGCACACATACAACACAACACAGTTTAGTGTCAACACAATTTCTCTATGCCCTGGCAATCCCAGAACTCCATGTGACTACTTTACTGCTCTGTACGCCAACCCAGAGCATCTCTGAGGTATGCTGGTGACCGATACGTGTTCGATTGTGCCTCACTTAGATTCCGAATTACAAGGGGGCTTCAGAAAGTTTGTGGGGAAATTCTATTATCTTCTCATTCCCTTTTTTCCACATACTTCTTGATGCTTCCACCCCCACGCCCGTATCTATGCCGATCCAAATCGCCTTTTAGTAGTGAAAAGGGGGATTTCTACAAAGCTGGGGTCGTGAGCAGCAAGTCCTCTTCAAACCTGCCCCCCACCCCTTTGGCTTCTCCCTTGATTTCCCTGGAGGACGCAAGCGTCAGATCAGCTCCTGCTCAAACTTGAAGACGAGACAATAATAGAGCCTTAATCAGTAAATGAGAACGTGTAATGATTGTAATAACTCACAACCAGATGAGGTTCCCTTATTAGCATCAGCTAGTGCTGCTCCTTCGTGATTGTGACTGCCCTACAAGGAAGCAAGCCCGTGTTTTCAAGTTCTTGGTATTCATCTATTTTTCCTGCCAAGCATAGAGACCTAAAGAGTACAAGAAGCTCCCTATAACTGGTACTGAATTATCTGGCCTACTTAAACATCTAATGTAGCCCTAGCCACCAGACCAAGTAGCCAGCCAAAGATGTACCAGATCTGTGCTGCTGTGTTTGTGGGAATATAAAACAGGCTTCAGAAACAACGTCAGTCTGAAGGTGGGTCTAATGCCGAATTCTCTTCTCTTCAACAGGCATGGACCCATGCAGGCATCCTCTTAAAACACAAATACAGCTTCCTGGTGGGATGTGCTTCCATCTCTGACGTCATAGCTCAGGTAAAGGAGTCCGGGGTATCAGATTGCCCCTCTGGTGAGTGAACCCCCACTTGTAACAGACCCCACCCACACTTTCTTCACCTCCTTTCCCTGGCCCTGCAGTCAGTGTCGGCTCCTCAGATCTGCTGCTCAAATAAACTCGGCCTTCAGTAAATGTTTGTTCAACAAATGAGTAAATGAAACTCCATGTAATAAAAGGATGGATTATCTTGCTAGAATGAGAATTGTTGGAGTTGAAATCTAACATCTGAGATTCTGACCTTTGTTGTTGTTTTTTTAAGATGTGCACGTGGAATGACAGTAAAGTCAAGCCTCCTATGTATTTGGGTGGTCACGGGATCACTGTGGACCTAGGTATGGCGCTTTCGGATAAGCACTAGACTGCTAACCTCGCTAGACCCAAGATCGGTGGCTCAAACCCACCAGCTGTTCTTGGAAACCCTTTACAGGGTTGCTATGAGTTGGAACCGACTCCACGGCACCCAACAACAACAGGCTCACTATGCACTTGGTTTAGCGCCCTCTCTGGGTGACCCAACAATATACAGTCTTTCCCTTCATTTTAGGAGCCCTGGCAGCGCAGTGGCTAAGTGCTTGGGAACAAACTGAAAGTTCGGTGGTTCAAGCCCACCAGCCACTCCGCAGTCAGATGAGGCACTCAGCTTCCATAAAGATTTCTGGAAACCCTCTGGGGCAGTTCTGCTGTGTCCTGTGGGCCCCCTATGAGTCAGAACCAACTCAGCAGTGGTTTCACAGGTGTTCACTGCATTCTAGAGAAAGTGCTCTCCGGAATTGTTGTTATGGGCCGCCAAGTCAGTTCCAACTCATAACAGCTCTGTGCACAACAGAACAAAACAGTGTCCAGTCCTGCACTCTCCTCACAATCGTTACCCTGGAGCCCAATGCTGCTGCCACTGCGCCAATCCATCTTGTTGGAGGTCTTACTCTTTGTCACTGACTTTCACTAGGGATTGGTCCATCACGATCACATGTCCCAAGTAAGAAAGATGAAGCCTCACCATCCGAACTTCTAAGGAGCATTCTTCCAACACAGATTCTTGGTTGGTTTTTCGGGCAGAGTCCGTGGTACCTTTAATATTCACCTCCAACACCGTAACTCAAATGCACCAATTCGTCTATGGTCTTCCTTAGTCACTGTCCAGCTTTCACATGCATATGTATAAGACCATTAAAACTGCCTGGCTTGGGTCAAGTGCTCCTCACTTGAAAGAGATCTTGTGCAACAGAAATCAAATGACATATTGCATTAGGCAAATCTGCTGCTCAAGACCTCTTAAGAGTTACTCTGCTATCTTTTGAGGGTTGTTCGGTATTGTTTATGTTGTGATGGAAGGCTGTCTTTACACATCCTGTCCTCAGATCTACAAGACCTTCTCTTTTGCACACTTTCTATAAGAAGGACTCCATTCCACTCGTTTATAGTTCTGTTCTCCAGTTCTAACAGCCAGCCCTGACTTTCTAGGCACCTTCCCTCTAACACCAAAGATACCCTATGAAAATTCCAGAAGACAGGCTGATGGAACCTTGAGTTCACCCTGTACCTGTAATCGGATGTGGGGCATGAATTCCTCACTGAGGAAGAGGCTGGATTTTTACCGCTCAGTTACCTTCCAGGGGCTCAGTTCTATCCTCTGAATATACCTATGCTTTTCTTCCTGGTGTTTCTCCAGTGGACTCTGTCTTAGTTCTCTGGGGCTGCTACAACAGACAGACAGACGGACGGCTTTAACAAACAGGTAGTTAGTCTCATAGCTTAAGCGGCTATGATCATGTCTAACCTCAGTGTGCTGGCTCTAGGAGAAGGCTTTCTTTCTCTGTGGACTCTGGAGAAAGGTCTTTGTCTCCTTTCAGCATCCGTAGGTCCAACATTCCTTGGAGTTCTCCATGGGTCTTGGCATCAGTCTTCCTCTGGATCTAGACGCTTCCCAGGGCAGGGACCCAAGTCTAAAGGACACACTCCACTCCCAGCCCTTCCTTCTTGGTGGTAGTAGGCCCCTGTGGTTCTGTTCGCTGGTTTAATCTCTTTTATATCTCAAAAGAGATTGACTTAAGATACAGCCTAACTCTGTAGGTTGCATCTGGCCTCATCACCGTCATAGAAGTGAGGTAACTGCATGCGATCAGGGCTGGTCACATCAGATCCCGCCAAGGGGGGTTACTTCCATTTTACCAGCTCTCATCATGGAGATCACACCTTAACTACTAAGCCACTGAGAATCCTGGCCCAGTCAAGTTCATTTTTTGGTTCATAAGTCAGTTCCACCCCCCCAGAGTTCTTTTTTTAAAAGTGATTCCCACGATCGCTGTGTTTGCATTTTTCTATGTAATAACTCTTTTGATAGATTACCTGTGTCATGTACAAAAAGTGTTTCAGAAAGTTCATGGGAAAAGTCCATGCTCTTTTCATTCCATTCTTCCACAAGCTTTTTGAAACCGCTCATGCCTTCATTGCTCGTATTTCCTGAAAGCCTTCGTAAATTACCTAAGTTGGTAAAGAATAAGTAGACCCCATGCCCGGTACTCTGAAAGGCCAGGTTGTGGTCGATAGGCACCAAGTGATCACCATTGGCAAAATGGAAACGTTTACAATGATGCCAATCTCTGTGGATAGTTTACATCTTTTTTTTCTTTTCCTTTTAATTTTTCTGAGTTTGTTGATTTCATCCCTGTTGTCTGGTTTGGTTCAAACAGACAACACTTTGCCACCATGATTGTAGTAATCACATCTGTCGGGGACCTGCCTCGACATAGGGGTTCGGTTCACGAGGAGGAGATACCTGACGGTGATAAAGATATAGCAAGAATACACAGAAAGAGACAGAGAGAGACAATGAGGCACCCCAAAGCCAGGGTGGATACATCACTGGTGGGCAGGCTTGGGACTACAGGCATCATGGCCTCTGCAGGCAGCAACTCACTGCCCTGCAATCTTTACCGCATGCCCTCCAACCCGTAATGCACTGCAATCTTTACTGCATGCCTTCCAACCCGTAATGCACACCTGGGGAGGCCCGGGCCTCTGTTTTATTTAGGGGAGGAGCTCCACACCAAGCTGGGAGGGACTTAGGCAAGGTACAGCTAACATCAGTACTTTTCCAGACATTCAGGTAACTTTACATCGTACTTCGCTGGTTCGAATCCCAGGCCAGCAACTTGGTTTCTCAGGCTCAATTAACATATCTATAGCCCCTGAGCTCAGTTGGGGGAAGGTGAGAGGTAAGGACAAAACCTTGGGCAGAGTCCTGCTGTTTCGGCTTCCTGAGCCAGGTCTGCAGGAGGACTCGAGACGCCCAGGTGAATGGGCTGCACCTGGAAAAAGATTAGGAAGGATGGGTTTTTTGTCTATAGAACAAAGAACCGAGAAGTAGCTAAGATATTTTTAGTTAATCCTTTGGAGAAAGGCCTGACCTTGCAACCTTTAGTCTCAGCTTTAGGAAAATATCACATTTATCTGTGGATTATCAAGAGCTCCGTGTATTAAATTAATACATGTAACTGAATATTAAGATGAAAAACAATTTGCTATTGACTGCCAAGTGGCTAGATCTGTTACACTCGGGCCTATAGGGCCTCAAACCTCTGACCAGTCTTACATGGTCCGCAACACACATCCAAGGGATTAGTGAATCCTGGCTGGTTTTGTCCTCTTCAAGACCATGTGGACACCATTCATAGCAAAGTTAGAGCCCACGGAGGTTGTTTGACCCCATGGGGACCTCCAGATTTTACCTGCCTGCTCTCATTACCCCCGCCCTCTGAATTCAGCTGTGAGCCCTGGAGTACCAGCTTTGTAACAAAACCCCAGCCCTGAGCCAGTGCCTTCTCCTGTAGAAAGTTACACAATAGAGCAAACAGATCAAACCATCAATTTGCCCTCATCACTCACCTCCCCAGACTCTAGGATAACTGTTTCAGATTCTCAGTCCCCACTACATTCCCAAAAAAGGGCCTTGTTTCCCACTACGCAGGGAAGACTGATGCCAACAAACGCTTCAACTTCCGGTTATGGAATCTCCAAGCCCCACCTCTCCTCTCATCCCAACATCTTCCCCATTGGCCTTCGTGTCGGGAAGCAGGTGGCCCACCTCCCTCAGATGGCAGTGCTCCCCTATGCCTTGGCTCCTGCACTGCCCAGCTTGGATGATCTATTGATGACTAACAGCGCTCCAGTGACCCATTCTCTCTCCCTTCTGGCATGCCAACCTGCTCATATATACATCCACCATTTTAGCACAACGGCAGCTCCAAGATGCTCTCTGGATCGCTGTCAGCACATACCCCTTCAGCAACAATTCTCTTTTTGTCTCTATCACTTCATGGCCAAACTTCTTGGAAGAGTGCTTTCTCCTCACAGCTTCTATATTTTTTACTTCCCTTCCATCTTTTACCCTCCTCAAGACCGATTCCCACCCAGTTATCCAAGTGTACATGGTTCTGAGCAGTCTAGTGCAGCTTCCATTACCTGGCACAGCTTCTCACTGACCTTCCCTGACTGACCCTTCTCTCCTCCATGGCTCAGCCCTCGCCAGGGACTCTCAACTTGTAAATGTTGTTCCTCTCTTCTCACTCTGCATTCATTCTTGAATCTAATTCATGCCGCCATCTTCACGAGAGCGGATTGTCAGGGCTCAGGTCACCAGATCTTTATCCCACAGAGCTGCTGGGAAGGTTCTATCCGCTGACCCTCTTGTGAGCAGCCAAGCGCTTAGCCATTGCACTTCCAGCAGGAAATGCCTCAACTCCCCATCTTCCACCCCCTCCTGAGAGCGTCTCCTCAGACTACCGTAGCCTCAGGTCTCTCTGTATTGGTTTCCTGTGGCTACCAGAGAGCCTACCACAAATGAGGTGACCTACAATAGAAATGTATTCTCACACAGTTCTGAAGGCCACAAGTCAGACTCAAGATGTAAGCAAGGTCTGTTTCTTCTGAAGGCTCTGAGCAGAAGCTGCTTATCCAAGAAGCAAAATAAGCACAGGCGTACTTACTAACCTCGAGTGGCCTGTTTTAGATGGTTTTCACCATTGTTCGATTGACTCTGCTCACTACAGGTTAGTAAGTAAGCACAAGTGAGCCTGAGCTTATCTTGCTTGTTGGGTAATCCATCACTGGCTCCAAGGAAGCATCTGTTCCTTGTGTCTCCCCCAGTTCCTCAGGGCTCCTAGGCTTTGTAACTGCAACACTCGAATCTCTGCCTCCATTTTTTTCATGTCTGTGTCTCAGATCTCCGTCTGCCATTCTCACTGGGTTTAGGGCCCACCTGAAATCCAGGAGGACCTCATCTCACGATCCTTAGTTACATCTACAGAGACCCGACATACCTTTTTGAGGGCCACCATTCGCTCATCACTCTGCACAAGAAGTCTTCTCACCTCACAGCCTGGCTTGCCTGGTGCCATCTTGTCCTCACAGGGTCTTTGCAATTTGTCAGCAGTGCTGGCTGGTTAACATCTCCACCTCCTCCCCGAGGCCCCCAGCTCCAGGAGCAGAGGCGGGCATGGTGTTACTGCTCACTGAACCCCCATCAGCTGGGGTGATAGCTGGCCCTTCACAAGTTCTCATTGAGAGAGGAGGATCCCTTCCAAAAGAATATGGCATGCTAGTGACAGCAATATCAGATTCAAATTCTTTCCTTGGACTAAAATTCCAAAGACTCAAGTGTTATTTTAAATCTATAAATAATATTGTCCATGGTGATATCGGACCTGTTTGGGGACCGCATGTCTTCAAACTATTAAAACGCAAGGGGAAGCTGGTAAAGTCTTAACGTATTTTGAGGGAGATGCAGTTCAATCCATGACATCTGTCTGATACTTGATTTCCGCCCAAAGTGTTTGTCTTGATTGTCCTGCTGTATGTTGTGTGTGGCATTTGATGTCCTGATGCTGGGGATCTTGCTCAACCCCCAGCTTTGTTTTTTTGATTCTCATCATCACCGACTTCCTGGTCATGGAATGATGGGGAGAAGATCACTTGCCCGTGGCAGGTTTCCTTGCCTGCTTTTCCATGATTATATAACTCTGGTTGTTCCAACCTATTGTACTTTTATATTTTGATGCAAGTTGTATTGCAATAATGAATGTTAGTATGTGTTCAGTGTTTGGGGGGAATTGATGTTACGTTATTGTCCGTTGTTGTGTCTGCCATCTTTGATCCATGCTGATTTTTTCTTTATGAGGGTGAATTACATGTGTACTGTCATTGACCAGCCTTGAGAGGGCAAAGGTCGGCAGCATCTGGGGACATTTTCGAGACTCCTTTCCAGGTCCAGAGTTCCTAGACTTTTTGTTTCAATGATAACCTTAACCCATTGTTCACTCACCTTCAGAGTATCTCCATAGTAGATTTGACAAAATGACTGGTTTGCTTCTCCAGGAATCCCAAATGTCTGAACCCGAGTTTTACGAGAACAGCATACAGAGGCAGAAGCCATGTTTCCCTTGCAGGACAGTTGAGGTTTCTTTCAGCAATCAGTCTCCCAGGGCTCAAGAGGTTGCACCTGTGCACCAGTGTGCCGGGCTCTCCCGCGGCCCCGATGACGTGTCTTTGTTTCTGTGTCTAGGTTGTTTTTGTCGCTATCCTGTTGCACAGTCACCTGGAATGCCGAGAGCCTCTGCTTATCCCCATCCTGTCCCTGTACATGGGAGCACTCGTCCGCTGCACCACTTTGTGCCTGGGTTACTACAAAAACATCCACGACATCATCCCTGACCACAGCGGACCCGAGCTGGGGGTACGTATTCACCAATGCCACAGCAAGCTCTCAGGGCATTCGTTTATTCCAGCCCGAGAGTCACAGTCCACACAGGGCAGTGTCCATGGGAAGGACAGCTGGACAACTGATGTGTTCAGACATGGACGAGACCTTCCAAGTCATTGCTCAGCTTCCTTATCTTCCTACCAGGAGACTGAGGCACAGCAAATCTTATCAGGTCGAAGAGTAGAAACCACATTCAGGATTGTTCCTGCTCTCTGTTGTCCAAAGCAAGTTTTTCTGTAATCAACACAGATGTTAGAACCCTGGAACACTTGAATTCACATTTTATGTGTTTCAGATTTCACAGCTGGGATCCAGGCATAGTTCCTACCTTGTATGTAGTGTCCAATCTCAACTGATTCTTCAGGTGCCTTCTGTGGACCAAGTTTGGGTTTATTTCCAAATGGTTAGAAGGCAGATAGGAATGATGAGTGACCCTATGTGGTTTCCAAGGAGCAGCTGGTGAGTTTGACCTGCCAACCTTGCGGTTCAAACCAGCCTTATGGTCGAGTGTTTATCCTATAGTGCCACACCAGGAATGATGATGGTACTGCTGGTGGTAGTGTACCGTGGAGTTGGTTCCGACTCATAGCGACCCTGCACAGGGTTTCCAAGGCTGTAAATCTTTACGGGAGCAGAACGCCTCATCTTTCTCCCACGGAACTGCTGGTAGTTTTGAACTTCTGACCTTGCAGTTCATAGCCCGGTTCGTAACCACTACGCTACCAGAGCTCCTTCATACTACGATAGTTAGACACAATTGTGGGAACTTGCTGGTTCCAAAATGAATGACCACCCTTTTTTTGTTGTTATTTCTGGGAGCTGCTTCCTACTGGTGTAGCTTCTAGCCTAATCGATTTGATGATTTCAACAAAGACTCATTTCAGACCTGTTTCTTAGACCCTGGCCTTGAGCCCTCCTACTCCTACCTTAGTAAGAGTCACCTTGTATGGAAAACAGTGGTTTGGACCCTTGGAACTTCAATGTGTGTTTGGATTTCACAGTTGATTGCCAGCCATCTGAGTTCATTTTTAATCAAGCTTTATGATTTCAATCCCTCTTGGCTTGTCTTTGAAGACTTTTCCGTAAGTCCAGTGACGAGTTGGTTGATGATCTGCCAAAAAAACAAAAAGGAAAGGCTTGGGCTCGGAAGTTTATTTCTTTTCCACTTCTGGAGTTGCGTGAACTCTTACCTCCGTTTCTTGGTGCAGGGAGATGCCACGATCAGGAAGATGCTGAGCTTCTGGTGGCCTTTGGCTCTGATTTTGGCTACGCAGAGAATCAGTCGGCCAATTGTCAACCTCTTTGTGTCCAGGGACCTCGGGGGCAGTTCTGCAGCTACGGAGGTAAGGCAGTTCCTGGGGGCGTGGGGGCAAGTGGGGGGGGGGGAGGCTTTGCATGTTTGTCTCCAGTTGATTTGAGAGCTACAGCAATCCCGTGATCTTAAATGATGTGACACCTTCATACTCAGAAGCCTGGAGGATGTCATTGTCTTAAAGTATATATGTTTTAGAACAGAACGTCTAGTCCAGCTTCCTCATCTGCCTGATAGAAAACTCAGGTATGGTAAGGTTAAATCAAAAACAAGCAAACCCACTGCTGTGAAGTCCATCCTGACTCATGTTGTGAAGTGCCGTTGAGTAGGTTCTGACTGATAGCGACCCTGTATAGGGTTTCTACAGAGCAGTTGGTGAGCTTGAACCACCAACCTTGCTGTTCACACCAACTCTGCAGCCCAGTACATTTGCCCTCAGTGCCACACCAGGACTCCTCCTGACTCATAGGGACCCTGTATAGGGTTTCTGAAACTGTTCATCTTTACAGAAGCAGACAACGTCATTTTTCTCCTATAGAGTAGCTCGTGGGTTTGAACCGCTGACCTTGCAGTTAGTAGTTCAACACCTAACCCTCAGCACTTCCAGGGCTCCATTGTTGTTGTTGTTTAGATCCATACAGTCGGTTATAACTCCTAGCGACTCTGTATAGGGTTTCCGAGGAGCAGCTGGTGAGTCTGAACCACCGACCCTGCAGTGCAGAGCTTATCCTTCAGTGCCACACCAGGACTCACTTAGGGACACCAGGGCTCCTCTGGGACCCAGAAGTAGTTAGAAACTGGACTAGTTTGGGAATCCAGGCTGTCTGACTCCTAACTCCAGACTCAGCCTGGCACAACATGGATGTGCCACGTGGCAGCAGATGAAATGAAAATCTCCAGTGGGCCTCCACATCGACCCCACCTCCTCTCCCCATAACCTTCTCCATACCACCTCACCCACCATGACTTCACGCACTCTTTCACATTTGGCCCTCGTCTAAATGAGGGTCTTCTTTGTTCAC